TTTCCGGGATCACTTGTGTTATTATATAACTAATTAAAAATTATCAGAAAAAACCGGGATCAATTGTGAATTTTTTTCCGAAAAAAAGTATCCGGGATCAATTGTGCTAATTTTCCGGGATCAAAAATGTAAGTGTCCAATAAGAATTTATGTATATTTCGAGTAAATGTCATCGATTGTAATCTTTCATATTATATATATATATATATAAATGATAATATCAGACTTTATATTGTATGTTTCTTAACAGTTAAACTTAAATGAATGTCAATAGATTATATGTTATCTAATTTTTATATCTTATATAGAACAATTAGAAGGCGATTAGTGAGTGATAATGTTTATTCGTTTTGACAAACAATATCTAATATCAACTTGAATTTTAGCACTTTCAAATGCGCATTTTGTTTCTTCTATTTTAAGATATTCTATAGAATCTTACGATTACTTTTTAATGGATACTATAAAAAGAAAAAAGAAAAAGAAATATTAATATAAGTATTCATAAATGATTCTTTGATGATAGTTATAAGTTGACAGGTCAAAGGGTTTGTTCGATTTTATTCTTTGAATGATTTATTCTAGCAAATCTTTTTCTTTTTTTTTTGATTCAACCGAATATTCAAAGACATAAATTGGTTATTCACAACGTATTAAATCAGTATTTGCAATACATTACATCGCAATAAGATTTCCTTATCAATAATAAAGAGTTATTGAGTAAAAAAAGAAAAGAAAAACAAACTTTGTTTCTTAGAAAAATCTTTCTTTCATTGCATTAATTTTCTAATAGAAAATAATGGATGATCTTAGATAAAGAGAAGAAGCTTATTTCTTTTGAAAAAGAAAAGAAAAATTTCCTTTAATTAAGAATCAGAGGTGAACATAGGATTGGTGCTGTCAGTAGAATAGACAAGTTTTTTTATATTCTTCAAAATATATGTATATACATCAAATTGTCAGTCATTCTTTAGACGATTTATTTTCATTTGCTTTCAAATAATAAAATGAATATCGTTTTAAATAATAATTTATTAAAAAAAAATGCAAAGAAGATGCATTTTGTTTTTCTTGTAGAATTAGTTACACTTTAAAGATCGATATTTATAAAAAAAAAAACAAATAATTAATTTCAATTAAATTGATTGATCTATATTATTTAAATATTAAAATTTTAAAAGCTTATTATAAATTCTTTGTTTGTTTATATGAATTCATTTTCAAATTGAAATATGAACCAACTTAATAGAATAATTTCTAAATTAAATTTATAATTATTACTGTCATTGTCTAATTTTTATTCAACTCTTATTTCCACATACATATCACAGGTGTCGTATTCAGTTTGATTGTATACATCAACCTGACACTTATAATCAACGATTATAGTATTCATTATTGTAATGCTTAATTTAACCTACTTCTATGCAGATAAGACCGAAGACATGGTTGATACATCATGACCTTTAGAGACGAATGACACGACCTTCATATTTTTCGGTACTCATCTCTGTTCAGTATGATATGATAATAAGAACAACTTTTATTATATTAACATCGGAAGACAATTTTTCAGTAATGACTTATAAGAAAACTTTCTTCGATGCCTTATTTCTAATTTCAATTATTTTTTGCCTATCGATACTACATAATATTCTAGTGAAAATTCTAAAAAAATATGAGTTCCTGTTGAGACTTGGCCATATGATTGAATTTTTAATATATCTATTTTCAAAAGATTCCTGTAGAAGCGCAGATATTTTATCTTGAAATTACGTCCATTTGAAGGCTTCACATATAATAGCTTGTATAAATAATAGAAGAACCTTTTGAAAAGCTCGTCGCGCGAAGATATGAAGTCTTTAAACTATAGAACTTTTCATAGATGCTATTGTAATTATATAAAACCTTGAAATATCAAGGCAGTTTCAAAACAGAATTACAAGAATCTCTAACAAATTAAATATATAAAAACTTCAAGAGATCTTCTAAGTTTCTATAGGATCTCAAATCATTTTTGAATTTTCGCTAGAATACTATGTAGTATCTATAGATTTAAAAAAAAATTACTGACATCGGAAGGAAGGATCTGAGGAGATTTGCTCGTTAGTCTTTATTTAAAGCATGTCATTATGAAGAGAGATGAGTGATTTATTTAATAATTTTCATCAAAATGTTACATTACTTCATCTTTCTGTCACCAACAACTTATAAATAAGATTAAACTTTCATTAAAAAAAAAATTTAATAAACACTCAAGCATATCTGATGATTCATCGATAATAATCTAATTTCTTTCTAATGACAATAATCCATCGTATTGAAAAGATTTTGAATTCGAACATAACTTCTGAGCATTTTTCATACCAATTCCTATTCAACAGCTTCTACTAGTAACTTAATTTAAACTCATATTCTAACATGCATATCCTCTACTCACTTAAAATGCGTTCAAGTATAAGTGCCTTGAATCGCAAGACGAGCTTAATTATTCATAATGTACTATTAATGATCACCATTAACTATCTTCTAGACACTTTCATTATCACAACTGAATAAATATGATCTAAAAGTGTCACTCATTTTTTTTTTTATATTCATCTGAAACAAATATTTACCAATATAACTTATAAGACTATTTCAATAACATCCCATATCAATCCATTAATTTATTTACGCACAATAGCTATAAAGAAAACCGGTCAACATCGAAAACAAGGAAAAAAAAGAAACCGAAGAATACAAATACAAAGCGTTCACTATATATATATATATTTCAGTTCACACACAAGGACAACATAATTTGATGTTTGAATAATATTTTAAAAAATAAATATGTACTGAGTAAAAGACGACTGACTAGGCCGTGGTCGAAATAGTATTAAAATAGTTTGTTTGTAAATTATCAACTTTATTTGATGTTGAACTTGTTGAATTTGATCTTTGTAAATTTTCAAAAAGAGATATGGATGATGTTGATGAATATTGTTGATTATTTACAACTGATAATGATGATGGTGATGATGATAATGATGATGATGATGTATTATGTAATATTTCAATTTGTTTTTGAAGAAATGCAATATTTTCTTCAAGATCTTTTGCATCAATTAATAATGCAGATTTCATTCGTATAAAATGATCATAATCATCATATTGTTCATCAGAAAAATATTTTCGAAGAATATTTGTTACTAAACGACTACGTCGATCAATACCATCTTTTAATGATTTTGCTTCGTTATGTTTTTCTTGAATCTTTTCACGTCGTTCAAGTAAACTTGCCTGAAATAAAACAAAATCAACCAAGACATGTAAACATGACAAAAATTTAATCTTGAGGATTTTAGTTCGTTAGAACTGAAGACATTTATTCCGAAGATGATTTGGCTAATAAGATAATATTATTATATGTTGAACATTTTTAGTTTGTCTATATCTAGAACTCATTGAGATTAGTGAAAGCTCGAAAGAAATTCTATTTATGCATTGTTGTTCTTGAGTTAAGGTCATTTTACTGAATTCTTGAGTTCAAACAAACTACTTAGTAAAGAATCAAATAATACAGTTTTGACTTGAAAATTTGCCTATGAGAACGTCTCATTGTTGTTAGATTGTATTGAAAGTTTTACTTGAAGAAAAAAAACAAGATTTCTTTTAGAGATTTTGAATGATAAAGGAATTTTCACCTCTCATAGGCAAACATGAGAGCCACAATCTTAGATTTTCGTCATCTATAAGCAAATCTGGCATTAGATATTTGCGAGATCAATGCTTTTGTTGTCTTTACTTAACAAAAATACAATAATGTGTCAATATATTAAAATGGGCTACACCTGATTCTTCCCTACTTTATTTCATAGTTAAATTATCATGCTTGTATTTGTATCTATTAACAAGCCACATCCATATCTATCAAGTAGAAAAAACTCAAATTCAACTTTGCAAGAGAAGAAAACGAAATGATGATATTGACTTGTATCTTAAAGATTTGCTCAAATAATTCTCTGATGGACAAAGTAGTAAGATGGATTTAGCGATTAAATGTTGTGAAGCTGTTAAGACTACTTATGTCAAATAATGATTTATCTTTTGATATTAACTAAAGTTTTTCTCTTATAATTTCATAATTTTTTTTTTAATTCTGTCTTATGCTTGTAGAAGAAAAAATGTTGATGTTTATTTTTTGATGTCATGGATAAAAAAAAATAAACGCTAATTTAATCAGGAGATGAATTTGAGAAAAAAAATCGGTGAAACGAATCCGAAAGGTTCTTACTAGGGCAAAAAAAAGAAGCAAGGGCACAATTTTGAAACAATTAAGAAAAGATGAGTCGTGATGAAGAACATCACTGTGATAGACCATTAAAATAATTCTCTTTAGAAATATGAAAACGGCTTAATGATAATCTCGATTATGATTGTTCATATACAAATGTCTTATTAAGATATTTATAGAATTTGATAAAATGAGGAGAAAAAAGATATTTATAAAAATTTTACTTTTGTATGAATATTATCATCTGTAATCATCAATAAATCATTTTCAACTTTAGCCAATCGGCTACTAAGTTTGAGAAGAATTGATGTAATTGTATCGATTTCACTGATATGTAATTTAACTTTTTCAGTTTCATTTAATTCAGCTTTTGATTCAATTATATTAATTAACTAAAAAAAAAAAAGTTTAGAAATTAATATAATTTGTTTTTTGTTTTAATCTTTATTTCATACTTTTATACCAAGTGTTGTATTTATTTCAATTTCGTCATTGATAATACTTTGGTTTGCTTGTAATGTTTCTAAAGTCTTTTTTACATTTAATAATAAATCTTCCTAGAAAAAAAAAATTGATTAAAAAAAATAATTTTTTTTTTTATTATTTAATTTATTTTTTAACCGTTTGTCGAATATTATTATTTAACATTGTTTGTATATTGTTCATACTATTTGTTTCGGAATTTTGTATTGAACGCTTACGTTTAAGATGATTAGGTATTGGAAATAAATCTTTTATATAATCTGAACTACGATGATGTTGATTATTTAATATTAATTCATTTGAATATGGTAATGGCAATGGTTTTAAATCATTTTCACAATTCATTTTTGTCGAGACAGATGTTTTTAAATCATTTATTGATGGTGATTGTGCCGAACGTTGTACAGCTTTAACAATTCGAACTGGTTTTCGAAGGATAATTGGTGGAACTGTTGGTTGAGTCGATAATGCATCGAAATATTTTGTTGTTCTTATCATTGAATCAGGGGGAGTTTGTTGTCTAAATGACCAAATCCGTTATTCTTTTCAATGTATGTTTTAAAAAAGAAAGAATGATAAACAAGAGATAACATATTCCGTATGCATCATTTTTTTCGTCATGGCCAACTCAAATGCTGCAAGTGATCCTCTGTATTATGATGTCAGTCCAGAACACGAGCGTTATACACGTTTATTTTTAATATTTTCTGGTTTAATATGTGTAACATCAATAATATGTGCAATTGTAAAAGCTCAAGAAGAAAAAAAATTTTATATTATTCTAATTAGTTTAGTTGCATCTATATTTTTTGTTGTATGTATTTATTTGTTTTTTAAACGACGAATTCTTCTAGCTGAAAAACTTTGGTTTGTTAATTTAACAATATCTGTTTTATTTTTACAAGCATTAATTTATTTAATATTTGTTTTTATTAAACCATATCCTACTCCTATTATAACAACAACAATATCAACAACACTTTTTCCAACAACAACATCTAATGGAAGTAATACCACTAATATAACAACAACAACAGCTGTTACAAGAATAGCAAAGACATATTTATGGGATAAACAAATTTTCTTAACTAAATTATATGAACATATTGAAGATAGTTGAAATATTCCTATTCCATTTGTTTTTTATATATTAATTTTGATTTCTAAATTCTACTAATTTGATTATATTCTTGATAAATAATATTAAATGAAATTTAAACATTAATACAATATACAATATGTATGACAAATATTGATTATCTTATTTGATTTTTTGACTAATCTAGATTCAATTTTAAGAACAATTACTCTTTTGTATATTTCAACAAAAAAATAAATAACTAATTTCCTTATTGTTATTCTTCTCGGAGATACACACAAATCTCTATTTCAAATTTAAACTCAAAATTCGTAATTCACTAGACAGAAATTTTCAGATCAACATCACAATTTCCATGAGGATAACATAACAAAAACACAGATGCTTGTACAGTTAAAACACGATTATTAAAGGCTAAACTACACATGCACTAGTGATGATGCATTGGTCGAAAGAGCCATTTTAAGAAATTAGATGAATTTTATAAGGAAAAAAAATAGATCAAAAGTTTTCGAGATATAAAAAATCAGAATTTATAGAAGAGTTTGATGCGTTTACCATTATTCTAGGTCAATATCAATATCCTATCTAAGACCGATGATGACCACTACCGTTGCATTCCTAGGCAATATTGTAATATATATTCATGTCTACTGTATATCACATACCTATGACACAATCAGAAAATAGAAAGTATCATAAGTTTTTATCGAGTTTTAAATCTCTTTGAGATTATTATCACGTTATATGACTCTTTTAGGTGACGTCATTATATCTATGTATTCCATCTATGTCATATTTCGTTCTACGGTCAAGCGTGAATGTATATATATTATATATACGTTCTCTTTTTTAGTACGTTCAAGTACAAATCGGTTGCTTTCTATTTTTGTCGTGTATATTTCCTTTCGTATTCTTTGGTGAGTTCTTAACCTTCTATTACCTTCTAGTCAATTCTTTCTATTCTCGTACTCTTGTATATATGTGTATATCAGTTGCTTGAAACAATAAAAAAATATAATACATACGCGATAAGATAATACTTAAATTTAACTGACAACTGAGAAGTCGTCGTCTATTAGCTTCACAACTTAAAACGAAACTATCAATGATGAAACATTGTTTGGCAATGAAAGGCAGATGTAGAATTTTGATAAATGGAGACGATCATAGCTACAAAATATGTTTTTTGTAGTTCAATTAAAGGTCGAATCGATTCATTTTTGAGCGTTTTCTGTTGAGAAAAAAAGTTTCTCAAGAAAGGAGCGATTGCTTCTTGTATCGTCTCCTCTTAATTCACCATTAATAAAAAGATCATTATAATATTTTTCAATTGAAACAGATGTTTTTAAAAAAAATTGATAATTTACATATGGTTTTACTACATATATATATATAAATGAAATTTAGATAATTGTATCGATGTTTCAAATGAATCCCTCTTGTAATCAAATCAGTATTGATCGATATGATTAGTTTTAGATTCTTGTTTCAATAAAAACATGAGTAATTACATTTGATCATACAATACAAAATGAAATGTCATTGTCATAATTATTTATTTGAGACTTGTCATTAGTCATATGATGAGTCACACCATATGTTGACGGAATACTGATTTCCAGTGTATTAAAAATCTTCAATCACATCATGTTTCAAACTACAGATTGATATTTTCTAGATAGTATTCTTATCTTTTTTTTTTTTCATTTTAAACTATTTATTCAGTATATATATGACCTAATGAATACGTATAAGAAGTACTTCAATGAGAAAAAATAACCTGTAATAATTGTACAAAGAAAACAAAAAGTTATCGATAGTCAAATGAAATTTTGTTTTTGTGTAAGAAACTTAATCTATCTGTCTATCAAGTACTGGATTTATCTCTTGATTAGTACAACTTGATCATCACATTCTTACACAAGAACAAAAGTTATTATAGACTTAAAATTCTTGGATACTGTCTTTTATGAGATATCAGGATCACAATAGCGAAAAAAGAGTTTGCGCGTTTCTCTGAGATTCTATGTTCGATTGAACTGAAAAAAGTTCTTTTTTTTTTTAACAGACATTAGACACTGTTTGGGGTGGAGCTCTTTTTATATTTTTAAGAACTAGTGAAAAATCAGTAGAACAATAGTTTTTGAAAGCGAAAATAGTTTCAGCTTGATTAAACCGGAGAAACGGAAATGTTTCTGCAGTTTTTTCATGAAAACGTTGATCTGAGAACAAAAAAAACGTGAAGTAATGTACTATTTTCGTTACGTAAATTTGATTCTTTTAACGTTTGAAAGTAATTCTAGAATGTACTCAATAGATAGATACTACTTCAGACTATACAATGGCCACAAAAAAAAATAAAAACAAAAAAAAAGAGGCAAAGGTTCTTAAATGAAAAGTGTAGAAATCGTACAAGAGCAGTCTTCTGTTGTTTTTATTTCATTTTAAAATTTTAAATTAAAATCATTATTAGNGTTTCTGCAGTTTTTTCATGAAAACGTTGATCTGAGAACAAAAAAAACGTGAAGTAATGTACTATTTTCGTTACGTAAATTTGATTCTTTTAACGTTTGAAAGTAATTCTAGAATGTACTCAATAGATAGATACTACTTCAGACTATACAATGGCCACAAAAAAAAATAAAAACAAAAACAAAGAGGCAAAGGTTCTTAAATGAAAAGTGTAGAAATCGTACAAGAGCAGTCTTCTGTTGCTTTTTTGTTTCATTTTAAAATTTTAAATTAAAATCATTATTAGGACTTTAAAAATCTCGAAATGATATTGATTTTAGTCTTTTAAAGTTTTTTTTTCAGCTGATAACTAGACATATATTAATGTCAATATACTGATTAAAGTTTCATTTTTTCTTAGATATTAATTAAGACGGATCTTCAATTGTTTAGCTCATATAAATACAATATTTTATTTTATATCAAAGAAAGTTATTTACGTAATTCCTATGAGATTAAAATTTGAAAAAAAAAAAAGAATGTAGCTATTATCACTAATTACAAGGCGATTATTTTATTCTATCTATTTTGGGACACATTATCTTCGCCATCTCTTTTTTCTTAACCTTCTATAAATGTAATAAGTTAGTAGTTCATATATTATAACGAGACGTTATTAAGATACAGTCTTTCATCGTATATTAACAACGTCTCTATGATAAGAGCGAGAGGAAAATACAGCTTGGATATTTGTAACATAGAGGGCAAATGTTATTACTATGTCGGTCATGTTTATGATGAACTGTTTCTAACGTGTCTGTTACGTCTATCGATCTTATCTGTTATTTCTATGATGTTTCCAAGGTAATGTATGCCATTGTCTGTGGGAGGTCGGAGGGTGAGAATTTTTACTCTATATACTTCAACACTCGTTTTACGTCGTGCTTTTACAAGCATACGAAAATGTCATATGCAAATGTATTATTTATGTAAGAACGATATATAGTAGAATAAACATTTCAATAGAATTAGGAGAAATTGTTTTGGTATAATGTGACAGATGTTTTGTTTTTCTTACTTTGTTTCAGAACGTTGATAATTGTTATTTGATATTGTATTGGATGGTGATAAAGCATAAGTTTTGTTATTTGTTGATGCTGGAGTATAATCTGTATAAGTACGATTTTCAAAAAATTGTCGTTTTGATTGAAAATCATCTAATATTTCATGACGAGTAGGTGAAAGTAATGCTTGTACACGTACTTGATTAGCTGATTTTGGTCTTAAGAGATTTTTATTTATTGAATTAGAATTTTCATATTGATTATCAAGAGTATCTTTTGATCTTGATCGAGATAATAAATTATTATTGTTATTATTAATATTCATTGTTCCCAATCGATTTGTTGTTTTTATTGAACGAGATTTTTCACGTAAACGTTCACTATATGATGCTTGAGTATCTTCAAGAGAAGTATCACTTGCTAAATAGAAAAAACAAAAACATAATTTTATTTCAATACAATTAAAATAATAAAAACAAAAAACAAGGAAAATCCATCCAGTCTGACGATCGCATATATATATATATATCTAATATAGACACACACATATGTAAAATAATATAAAATAAAAAAGAACGACTTTATATTAGTAAAAGAACATATTTGTTAAGGCGATAAAACGAATGAGATAAACGTATTTCTTTTGTTCGTATAGGGGTTTTTTTTTATAGCTATAACTTAGTTTGTAACAAAAAACGAAGAAATGATTTGAGTTTGCTTAATAATAAGATAGAAAATTGATATAATCAAATAGAAAGAAGCAAAAAAAAAAAGTATCCAAAATCTTATATAAGTCAATGGAGAAATGTTCTTTTTTCCCTTGAAAGAAGTGAAGTATTAATAGAAAAGAAAGGTACGCTTTTTTTTTTTCTTTTGCATATTTTTTATGATTCATATTTTGTTTTTAATTAAAAGTCTATGGCACGAGGAAAGAAAAAACAAAGATCATATTTCAGGTAGAAAAAAACAACAAAATTTAAATTTTTGTACGAATTCGAAAGATTGTTGTTGTTGTTGTCGTTGATGAAGATATTTTATCAAATATTGACTATGTCAATCATAATAGTATCTTATCTCAAATAATAATTATCAAGATTTTATGATGATCTACGTTCAGATTTGGATTGTATTTTAACAATAAAAAAAAAAAAAGTGAGACTTAATTCGTAAAGGTTTACACTCATAATCTAGATGCAGAAGTCAAAATGATGCTTGAAAGTGTAAAATCTTTCAAAATATAATAAAATAATTTCTTTTCTTTTTTTTTAAAACTTAACCATAGATTATTTATGAAGACTGGTTTTTTTTTTTGCATGTTCAAGTTATATCATAAAAAACGAATGTAACAAAAAAAACAAAACAACCTAATCATTGTTCTATGTAAGTATAAAATATTTCAATATGTTAAAATTGTCATTGATAAAAGAGAGCAAAATAAAAATACTTCTATATTCAAATACAATTAAGTATTACTCATTTATAAAATTGACTGATGTCATAAATCACATAACATTGTTAATCAATAAAAAAAAAAAGTTCTTTTTCATTTTTTTTTTGCTATGTCGAAATTATTATGCGATCGAGACTTATTATTAATAAATTCATACCTATTCGTAAGCAACCATTAGGAAATGAATTTTGTTCGGCATAAGATCGAACTTCATGTTTGTTATTTAATATTAATGATGTTGTAGGTGGTAAAACATCTGTTTGATTACCATTGCTTATTGATGATGACTCATCATTATAGGTCGAACTACAATTAAATACTCATTTTACATATTATACACGATAAAAAAGCGAGAGAGAGAGAGAAATAAGGTTTCTGATCATTTGTATAGAATATTTGCTCAATTTATCGAATAGAATAGATATGTGACACATACCTAATAACATTATTTTGTATTATACTCGATTGAGATTGCTTGTGTTTATGACTGCTTGAATTGGAATGTTTGTTCTAAAATACAGTGAACAAACAGATTTATATATTCATATAAAACGAACAGATGTTTACAGCTGTGCTATAAATTTATATATATATATATATATACGAATTGAATTATTTCATTTAAATAAGACAAGAATAGTCAAGTGGGCAAATGAACTTACTTGTTCGACAGTTGATGCCATTATTGTTTGCTCGGGGATATTTTTCAATATAGATGATGATGGTGGTGGTGGCCAAAAAGCTTGAACACTATCCGAAAGTATAACAGGTTTTGTATTTGAAGATGATTTTAATTGACGAATATGTTTTTGATTATTTATTGAATATGTCGAATATGATAATGTATCCTCATCAAAATCATGTGCTTGAGATTCATATGATGCATTTGATGATGATGAATTTGTACTTATACTATTCATACTAACATTTGATATAGAACGATTTGTTGTTAAATTTTTTTTTGATATTGATGTTGGTGGATAAAGATAATAATGATATTGTGGTGGTGTAGATATAATAAGTGTCGATGTTTGCATCATTTTACCAATAGATGATGAAGATTCGTCATTATTCGATAATGATTTTGGTGGAGAAAGAAAGAAAGGTTCTTTTTCAATAGATTGAACAGGTTGAAATAGAAGACCATTATTCAATGAATCTCCTTCATCCGATTTTACAGTTATCGTTGTAGGATTCATTGACATTGATGTTGAACTTCTATTCATTTTAGTATTTGTACACAGCGGGGTAGATGAATCTAAATGACGATTATATGAAGAAAAAAACACAAAAAAAAAAGAGAAGAACCTTGGAAGACTCCCCACCTACTCACGAGTATGTCATCATAGTAAACTCTTTTATTGGCCTTCTTTGATATACTTACTGGTATTACAAGAATAATGAAAATGAGTATTGTTATCTGTCGTCGATTGTCGTTCTTCTTGGTAATTCATCGTAACCTTGTCGACATCTCCATTCGGTGCGTTGTTTGAAGATATTAAAGGAGACCGAAGTGTATCAATATCAGCACTAAGACGTTTATTACCATGTGTTTTATGTTGTTTAGACTTTTGTTGAATAGATGATGAACGTTTTAATTGTTTATTTTCGTTATTAGATGATGAATGATTATTACTATTATTTGATCGATTAATAAAATTAAAAAATCCTCCAGTACTAGTAAACTTTTTTGTTGTTGTTTGTGGATTATTTATGGAATTTTTAACAAGTAAAGTATTCAAAGGCATCTGCTTATCAGCTGATGAATGCGTTAAATTTCCACCTAACAATCGCAATCATAGACAATGTCAATGTATATTATTCAAAAAAGAAAAAGAAAAGGTCATTCATACTTGTACTAAAATTGTTCGTGCCATTTGGCTCTTTTGTTGACGAGATATTTTGGTTGCCGTCATTGAAAGTGACTGTAGCGGCTTTAGTAGCGCAATGAAAGTGAGTTGCAGCAGTTGTTACTCGTCCACTAGTAGTACACTTTAGTTCATCGACATTTTCTTTTTTTTCTTGTCTGTGTCTTCGCCTATCGTTATTCTCTTCTTTCACTAGTGGTGATGGCGAGAGAGAAAAAGAACGATGAATTGTGTTTGTGGACAATGGAGTAGCCGTGTTGATTGTCCTTCTCGTTGTTTCAATTTTTTCTTTTTCTTCTACTTTCTCACCATAATTTTTCTTCGTTTGTATGTCATTATCACTATTACTATTCCCTGTAGACGAAGATGAAGACGTAACTGTGACCGATGGTAGATAATTACAATGTGTTGATGGTGATGTTGATCGAATCTCTTTAGGCAAATGCCAACCAAAATGAACGGATTTTTTTATTTGATTATTATTATTATTATTATTATTATTATTAATATCTTTTTTGTGTGATTTTAAACAACTACCATAAATAGTTTTCCTAGAAAAAATAATGCACATGAATGAAAATTCATATATATATATATGGGAATGGTCAGTCTGGCCGGATACCCTAATTCTTTTTTCATCGTCCTGCTTCTGATCGTATAATGCTGATGATCTGCCAAGTACAAGACGTCTATACCTTGTTTAAAATCAAAACAAGTGAAGTCTTAAAAAAATCTGTCCATAAAAAGCAAAACATTTTTATGTAGATTTCGCTTGTTTTGATTTTAAACAAGATATGAACGTCTTATACTGGGTGAAGTATCAGCATTATAGGAGTATTATAACTGATAAAAAAAATCATAGTTTTCTGAATTACTAAAGAAGTAGGACGATAAAAAAAGAATTGGAATATCTGGCCACCCCCATATATATATTTATATACGAATTGACAAACTATTTGTCATATATGTTTTGTTCATTAGTATTCCATAAGAGAAAAAGTAAATATAGACAGATTGATGTGAAATTCACTTACAAACTTGTTTGTTCTCGTTGTTGTTTTAATCCATCATGATTATTTGTCATAGCAGAGTTTGATGTGATGATAGAATTTGGCGAATGTGTTTGATTATTATAACGATTAAGCGACATTGACATATTCATTATACCATTTGTTGTTGTTGAATGACCATCGTTGTCTCGAGATGAATCAGTAGTTGGTGTTTGTAAAGTAAACTTTGTATATTGATTTAAAGATGACCCTATGGGAGACGACGATGGCGACGACTCTTCATGACCTTTTGAAGAAGTAAAATAGGTGGACGAAATTGATGATGATGATGATAAAGAGGAAACCGGAGACGATAAAGGAGTGGTGTTTGTATTTAATATTGGTGATAAAAATTTGTAATCGATATGATTTAAGTCTTTTTGTTGATATTCACTTATTAATGGACGTGTTTTTAATGAAATAATATGATCATAAATAGGACTTCTTCGTCGTGAAGAGAAATTTGAGCCTAAAGATGTTACTGTTGTCATTGATGATGCAGTAGATGTATCACTTATAAAATCACTATTATCAAATGAAGGTGATGCACGTGTTTTAATTTGTAATACTGAGTCCATTGAAGATGATGATGGAGTTGGTGATGAATCACGTTGTTCATTTAACAAAATTCCATTTCGATTCTAAGTATATATATAAATAAATAAACAAAAAACTATAGTTTTAATAAATCATCTTATATTTTATTGTCTATTTCTACGAAGACAAAAACAAAGAAAGAAAGACATTTTTCTCATGCAATAGTACTATTATTAAAATTAGCTATTGTTATTATTTATGCTAACATGAAAAAAAAGTTAGATTTATGTTTTATCTAAATAATTAAAAAAAAAAAGATTCTTATTTAAATTTCTTACCAATGTTTGATTTGAAAGTTTATCAATTAAAATATGATCATATTTGTCATTAAATGAATAAGGTCGTTCATGAATTATTTGATTTGGTTGTTGCAATTGATAATTTCTTGTTGCTTTTGATCTCATACGTACTCGATTAAAATTTTTATTTAATGCTGTAGGTTCACCAAATGTTCTTTTACCAGTTGGTGGTAAACCATATGCTTGTTGCTCATTTGGACCCCAACTAGCTCGTTTAAGCAAACGTTTCTCTTCAATAAATTCATTATTTCCAATAGCTTTAACAAATTCTGTATAAATATATTCAGAAGATGGTAATGATTTATTATCTATTGAACATGGAAGATTTTTCTCTTGTAAACTATGACGTTGAATAGACGAATGATGATTATTGGGTAAACATGATGTTGGTTTACATTCATCAATGAATAAATTTGTATCATTTTCAATATATTCAGAAAGTTTCATTTGTGTTTTTGCTTTTTTTTTTCAATTAATATTTAAAAAAAAAATTATATAAACCTGAAAGGTAAATAAACAAATAAGTAAAAGTAATACATATATATATATATATTGTACTATAATATCATTAATACAAACGTAAAACAAAAAAAAAGGACTGATATGACTATGTTTGGAGTAGTAAGGGATATATGATAAGATATTGAGATCAATTTACAATATGAAATAAGAATAAATATAGTTTATAGCAAGAATTTAACTCTTATGAAATATTATTATTATTGTTTTTCATTCTTTTTTCGATGACAATAACAATAGTATTGATTCTGACATGCGAAACCAGTAACGGAGAATATTATCTTTAATTAATCTTTTATCATTCTTTAAGCTTAGACAAGTAGAGCATTAGCGGTATTTGTCATGATGTTTAATCTTATCGTTTACAAAGAGAATTTTATTGCGTTAAGTATTTAAAATGACACGTAACTGTCTGCAACTGCTTATGCATTTTGTATGATTGAAGTGTCTACTTTAGCTTAAAATTACTTTTCTCATTTCATCTAAATATTGATGAAGGATATAAAAAAAAGATATCCTATACTTTATATATATATATTTAGAAAATGGAAATGAGTAAGATTGACTATACGCAAAAAAATGATGATCAAGTACATACTTATTATTGTAGAGTAACCGGATCATTTCTTAATTATATTTTTAACAGTTGAACATTGCAGTGAGAAAAAAAAATCTTACACATATACACTTAGATGACATAATGTTCAACAAGGAGTGAAAGAAAAAAAAGAAAGGAAGACGAAAAAAAAAAAAGAGCCACTTTACGTATTTGCTCAATAACATGAACGACAAGCGATTGTCGTTGTTAGTGTCCTACCATGATGATCAAGCGAATGAGAGCTTAAATAAAGCAATAACAGCGACAAAAAAAGGGAAGCATTCATTACATAAGTATATTCTTGTTGGCCTGACTTTTTTCTACTCGAACGACTCACATAGAATAAGCACATCGAGGTCGATATTACTGACAAACGAGTCGCTCAGTTTCATTTATATACATATACATTTGTCCTCTCCCCCTTCCAAAAAAAAAAAAACAGCAAGTCATGTAAAAGAAAATAGAATGGCAAAGGTTTAAAACTATATTCAAACAGAGATGATGATGATGAAAGACAGAAGTTTTATTTTGTACCCACCTATTATTATATAACATGTTTGTATGTATGTGACAATTGACACCTTTATACATAGACTATATGTTACCTATAGTGTTCATCATCTTTGTTTCATTGTCTTCATATTATTTTAAAATGGTAATAGGAGACAAAGATGTGTACATCATCAAACTAAATCGATACCTGAGACATATCCAACGATATTTATTCTTTAGTCAAAAGGTGATCAGTTCAGTATATATATAATTTTTCTCTTTACTACTTGGCTTGTTCTTTCCAATATGAAATAGATATTTGGTTTGAAAAGAAAGTTGAAGGTAAATACTAGTATGTATGCATATCATCGAAGATGATATGAATCAATTTTCAAATACACTGGGTATAGAGAAGAATTATATCTGATTGATTAATATAACTTGATTTGTTCAATGAGAACCTGGTGGATGCTTACTGGTATTGATGTTCGTCAGAGAAGCATGGATGCGTATACAAGGCAATGATGAAGGTTGAAGAAGACAGAAATGTAGTGAGAAAGAAGGAGAATATAGTTTGAAAAGAAGAATGAGTAACTTTAGTGTTATCAATAGACGACTTCCTTGAGCTGCCAAAACATTTTAAAGTCCGTTACTAATTGAAAATGTTTAAACATGATTATTATTTCGAAATTTCTTTGGAGCAATAGACACATAAATTTTCGTTTTTTTTTTTTTTTTATTTACTTTCCAAGGTTCAGACCGTAATAATTGAAAAAAAAGAAAAAGAAAAATGACAAAACAAAATAGACATTATGAAATGATACAATTAACTGTCATTGAAAATTGTTAATGTAGTCTATAATGAAAATGTATATACAATGTGTAATTAACTATGGCAATTTTTTGCACGAGAAAATTGAAAACATTCATCAATAAATTACACGAAAAAAAATGTCAATCATACTTAGATGCTTAAAATGTGTGAATATATATTTGTTGTCTGTTCAATATGTAAAATTTATAAATATGAAAATATTTGTTTAAGTTCTCAGATAAAGCTTCGTATAAATGAACATTTAATGTCACATTGTTAGTAAAGAAAAATGTGGTATGAACAGCATTCAAAAAGAAAATTCTGAATACCAAAACAGAAAAAAAAAGAATCTTTTATGTAGTTTGATTGAATCCAGATGGGTGAATGCTATTACATAATACACTTCGTTTAATTTTTGACTGTTTCTTATCAATTGGAAGAAAATCTATAATTTGATGAATTCAGTATATTTGAAGAAATGATAGATTGTAGAGAAAAACTTTTGGTTTTGATAAAATCTTTGTATAGAATGATAAAA